AAAATCGGAGCTTGAAGTGGAACAAGTGAGCAGAGGAGACATGCATGTGCTAGACTTTAAATGCGCTCTTACAGTAACCTGAACAAAGCAACAAGCAGAATCAATGGTTAGTCTCCGACGTACTTTGCCAGACAAATTCCAAAGCACAAGAAACCTGTGGAAGAAGATAGATGTAGCTCTATCACACTCATTTAGGTAACTTGAAGTTTATGCTTAGCTATAGATCAGCAGGCATAAACAGTTTTTACTAGGGCTTAAGTGACGTCCAACTTTTTGGCTCTACTTTTGTAGGAATAAAGCAAACGAATAATAGAGTGTACATTAAACTCTAAAACATATGGCTGTTTCTGCAAACCCAGCTCAGCGGTTGTTTTTTTTTTCAGTTTCTCAGGATGTTATTAAATATTACAGGAACAATCAAAATTATTGGAGCACTATAACAAAATAAAAAGCAGAGCAATACATCATTTTGATGAAGTTGTTTATTATAACTCCTTACTGAGGATTGAAGTTCCACGATAATGAAGTTATGGGATCCACTTTTGTCTAAATAAAGATTCTCTTTGAGCATCACCAAGATAAAAGACTATAAAAGTATGTCTTGTCATTGTTATCTAAGCCTTCGAGTGTTAGATAATTATGTGAAAAAAAAAATTTTGGTTTCAATCATTTATATATGTTTACTTAGTAGGTCTCATGATTATTTTTATTATTTACTTTTTGGTTGATTCTACCATTTAGTAGTTGAACTGTTTACTATTTTTGGATCAAATAGTGTTTACTTTTTTTACTTGGTAAAAGGTGTCTAAAAACGATATGTGGTCAGTTATATTATTTTCTAATCATTACTGTGTTGATGAAATTCATGGAAGTTCTTTTTAGTATTACTACAATGTAGTTATTCAGACTAAATGTAGGACTCTTAACTAAACTCCTTCCATAAAATTTCATTTTACAGAATCAATCGAATTCCAGTTTAGTCAATTTATTTTGCATTTGTAATCAGAAACTATATTATTTCAAAAAATGTTAGTCACAACTCGAAAGCAACATTAAAAATTTGTTCATAACTGACATGTGAATGGTGAAGAAGACAAAATTGAACGAATATTTAGGAAATGTCTATAAAACCAGAGGTAAACCTGCTCTCTCCATACATATACCATTAGGTAACAAACTGGTTTTCTCTACCCCTCCTCCGAGTAAGCCTCTTCCAGATTATTACACATTCTCTTTTAAAAGTCTAAATGGCACTAGCATTGTATTTATTTTCCGTTGCCATCTCCAAACACACATATACAATAAAGGTTGTACGCGATTAACAATACCTTATATGAACTATCAATGCGGTTATGGATGAACTCTTCCATGCAATATCAAACCATATTTAACCTGCTGAAATATCATCATTTACTCAATTAAATAATATCTTTAGATTAATTATAACTTATATTATGTGACTATGAAAATGTTTTTAAATGTGTATAGATCTTTTTAGAAAGCGTTAAAAATAAAATATAAACAGAATAAAATAATTAAAATTTAGTGAAATATAACAAAATACATAATTCATAATATGAAAATTAAAAGGGTTAGTCATTTTACATAATGTGTTCAAAAAAATCATTTTACATAAAAAAATAACATTTCCGCGCGAAGCGCGGACCAACCACTAGTAATAAATAAAGTTGTCTATATTTACATCCATTCATATAACTGATGCCTCCCATTATTGGTGAAACAGACTATTCGAGTATTTTGATATGCAATATTCTCTTGTTTCCATTAACAAAAGAAAAAGCTTATTTTTTCTTCCAACTCTTAAACTTTCTGACCGAAAAAAATCTTTCAACTCTTGAGCTTTTTCACCCCCTCAAACTCATGACAACATCATAAGTAGATGGACCACACCCTGAGTAGTGTGTTTATGATCATCAATTCATCTCAATCATTATAGTTTACTAGCTGCATAACCCCCGCGCAAGCGCGGGGCCGGGATCTGTGTTTTTTTCGGTTGTTGGTTTAGTGTGTTATTCTAATAATACTAAATAATGATGAAATGGAAAGAATGTACCAAGAGTGCAAAGTGAACATATTGTATATATAATGTGTTAAATGTTATTTATATGCGAAATAAGTTATAGGAATAAGTAAATTATAATATAATTTTTAGTGTATAAAAATAGATGTCTATATTGTTTTTTTTTTATGTTGGATATATTTTTTGTATCAGATGTCAAAACTTGATATAAATATTTATTTATAGTATTTATATTTGTACTAAACGATTTATCAATTTGAAAATAACTTTAATTATTTGTTGTTTGGGTTTCAATAGATAGGTTTGGATATGTTTTTTTGTAAGTTTGGATTTTGTTCATGAATAATGTGGTATTTTTCTTTACGGCGTCATCAA